AAGAAACTTTAGTCCCTAAACATCAGGTAAAAGCTAAAATAGCTAAAGAAACTTTAGTCCCTAAACATCAGGTAAAAGCTAAAATAGCTAAAGAAACTTTAGTCCCTAAACATCAGGTAAAAGCTAAAATAGCTAAAGAATCTTTTGTGCCTAAACATCAGGTAAAAGCTAAAAGTAGCTAAATAAACATTTGTGCCTAAACATCAGGTAAAAGCTAAAAGTAGCTAAAGAAACTTTAGTGCCTAAACATCAGGTAAAAGCTAAAAGTAGCTAAAGAAGACAAATGTAGATCAAGTGTCCTAAGGTAAATTTCAAAGAGCTATATTTAAATTATTTATTTTTATGCTACTTTTAGTTCATAAGCACTATCTGCTACAAATAGCCTTTAGCTAATCTTTGCTTCTTTTAGCTTTCAGCTAGACTTAGTTTTTAGCCGACCATTTGGTTGATCTTTTTGTGTTTTTGGCCTTTAACTAGCTTTTTGCTGTAGCTTTTAGCTAGTGTTCTGCTACATTAACCTGCCCTTTTCTACTTAAGTTTTTGCAGCTTTTGTATTTCTTCCTTTGAGTTTAGGATTGTTTTTATTTATTTATTTTTCATTTCTCCTCCTGATAAAGCACCGCTACAATAAGATTCAGACTCAAGCAGACTTCAGCATCACCTTGTGAATTATGACAATAATCTCAACTTTAGGTGAGTAACAACAAGCTGGACCTGAAACACAAACTGGAAAGGTAAAAGATCAAAATAATTATTGTATGTTGGAACAAGATGATAAYCAACCATCAGTAATCTCTGTGTGCTCCCCTTACTGACCTGCAGCTGTCACTGATGAGATGATGTCTGCATCACATCACTTCAGCTGTCAGACAGGAACAAGAAGCTACTTGTTTCTACCATAAGTACGCATTTTAATACAGCAACAGTTTTTTTCTCTTTTTCAGCTGCAATGTGGACGATAAAGCTCCTGCCTCTAAAATAATCTGATTCCTTCCTGCTGACTAAAACAGAACATGTAGGCCTTTTATTTTTCTAGTAAATGTGGGTCACAATTCTTTGGTGCTCAATTTTAAATGACTCTGTCGCCCTCTAGTGGCCAATTAATGGAAACACCAATTCTTCAGTCTGTGTCTTCATGAAACCAAACTGCAGAATTTTCTTTTGACCCATTTCGAAACAAAACAAAACGTTAGACAACCAACAAGTAGCGGATCTAGGATTTTTCTGAGTGAGGAGCCATTAAGGGACCACAATATTCATAAAGGGACCAAAGTCTTTGCTCAACATCCTTTCACACAAATCCCCAGTTTTGGTACCAGTCATACATGTTCAAACACTTATAATGTAATTTAAAAAAAGGGTACCGCTTTCCAATAAGGCTCCCCTCATAGATGGCTTAGATAGGTTATTAATTCATCTGCACTTTATGAATTATTAATAAGTGTTTATTATGCATTAATTAAGGTAAAAAAAAGAGACTAAACTGTCTGGTTTCTTTCCAAATACTGAACCAAATATGTTTGTGTATTAAACATTTTATACTAGTTTACTACCTTGTAAGCACATTAATGATTAAATGCATATTTTAACATTTAATATTATCCTGTATTACTGCATTATAATTATCCATAAATATTAAAGGGATCCTTATTGTAAAGTGTCCAAT